TTGCTGATTTCCCTACTCTAAGCAGGGCTTGGGGCTCGCTGGAGTGCTGCTAGGTAGGCGCTCCACGACGATCGCTAGTTCTCTAACTGAGACGCTCTGACTATTTGGTAATGGGACTGGTGTTGTTATCGCGCTTCTGCAAGCAGCGTGGCCGCTTCTTGTGGGGGTTTTTCCTATAGTGGGGAGCGTTCTAGGGCTTAGTTTAGCTTTGTCTCTGCGTTAAGCTTAAGAAGGTGTTGTTTGTGCCAGTTATGCTTTCTAGCACCTGGTGTTGCGGTAGCGTGGCAAGGGCGTCCCTATTGTGAGTCGAGCTTCTTAATAATCCGGAGACAGCTTTTGTGAATAAGTTGCCTCATGCCTGTGACTGTGAGTCTGCGATGAGAGTCTATCTGGATACTGTTAAGTAGCAACGGAAGGGGCGGGGAGTAAGTCTCCGCTTCAAGGACCGGGATAAGCGTGGCCTTATAGGCCCTAGCTATCGCGTGTAAGCACCTGTTCTGGATAGATAAGAGTTTAGCAGTATTTGATTTTGTGCCTCGTAACTCGTTAGGAAGATACCAAATAGCTAATGCGTAAGTCATTACTAGTTTGATGATGGCGTTATAAATGCGTCTCGTATGTAAGAGGGAAGCGCCCTATGTAGAAGTTAATAGAGCTGTGAGCGCAAGCGTCTGTTAAGTCATCTTTTAGAGCATCTTTTTAACGTGAGGGCCTCATTTTAGTTAAGTGTTAATCTGAAGTTCTAGTACTCTAATATCCGTTTTTGTTGCTATTAGGGTGCTGGCCACGTTAATCGTTTCTTCTATATTAAACTTCCTTGGGTTTCTTATAAGGTGAATCAGCTTGTACTTTTGCGGTGCGAAGACAGCGCTATAACAGTAAGCCTAGTGTAAGCACTTATTATGTAACTGCTCTAGGCATCTGCAGTTCTCCTTTGTGCTTTAGCTAAACACAAGTATATTAATGTTATTAACAAAGCTAAAAGCGCTCGCCTTAGTCCCTTGACAATTAGTAATATCTAATAGATCCGCATTATAAAAGAGGTACAGAATAAGCGAGATTAGGGAGCCCTAAGGGATTCTTATATAGACCTCAAATCTCTTAGACGTCTTGTTACTTATAAAGAGCGTAAAAGCCCTGTTTAATAGGAAGCTTGCTACCTATTTAGTAATTACAAGAGGGATCTTACACTTTCTTAGATTATAGATTAACCGTTGATATAACATTATATTAAAGGCGTCTGCTATATTCATGCTTAATAGAGAAGCTATCTTGTCTCTCTCTTAATTCTAGACTATATATATCTATTTAATAAGGAGCTCTAGTGCTGCCTTAGTTAAGCGATTGCCCCTTACTCCTATTTGCGTCTCTAGGAGAGTATTATATTACTTAGCTAAGAAGATAATTCGTCGTACTATAATAGACTCTAGCGTCTTGCCTATTGTGTTAAGCAAGGCTATTAGTCTATAGGCCTTAGGAGATAAGTAGTCTAGTTTGTTAGGTTTTCTTAGAGCTAGCGTGTAGGCCTCCTGAAAAGCATAGGGGTAGTATCCTAATAACGTGCAGGCGGAGAATAAGTGGGTAAGTGCAGGTGTGAGCTGGTCAACGCAGGCCTAAAGGATCCTGTTAGGGATCCCATCAGGGCCCGGGGCTCTGTCCGCCCCTATGCGCTGAATAGCATTCCGTACCTCCTCTTCAGTGATGGCTGTAGGGCAGTAATGTGCCTGCGGGTACACCGCGTCTTCGATATCATTGAGCAGTGCCTCCGGTAGAGGCGGGAAGAAGGCGGCTTTAAGCACCTTAACCTGGTCGTCAAAGATGTGTGCTGTGACGCCCTGGGTTGCCAGCGGTGTGAACTTAGGGGAATCGCGTGGGCGATAGCTATCAGCTCTTGCCCATTTAGCGAGTTTCCATAGATCCCTGAGGTCGTTACAAGTGTGTTCGATTCCTGTTCTAAAGTTGATCCGCTTGGCTTTATTAATAGCTCGCTTTTTGCGGTTGTTTGCTTGTTAATACCGCGCCTAGTCCTCTTCCTGTCTTATTGATGTCTATACACGGCGAAGTCAACAGGTATTCCTTACTGCCTCTGAGCACTCTGGGGTCCAGAAAGACTTGTTGTGGGCATTCTGTCGTGCCTACAGAACCGCTTCACTAATAATCTTGTTAAGATAGTCTTGAATCTCTGCTACGTAAGCGTCAATTATCTTAGGCGTATTAAGATACCTCTTTGGTAGTGCTGTTATAGTTATTTCTGTTACCTTACTTATATTGATAAGCTTCCAGGCCCTCTTTAGCCTCTTTGTACAAGGCGTGCTCTCTATGTATAACTGAGTTAAGAGAGGGAGGTGGTCGGCCGATTAGCATAAGTCATGTTTTACTCGGCAGTAATTAAGTCGTAAGGTTAATAAGGCAGAAATAAATACTAGGTCAATAGTTAAGCGGAGGCCCCTTGCCTCTTAGGTGACGGTGCCTAGGGGAAGAACTAGTTCTAGTTCAGCGTTAGTAATAAGATTGATTAATTGCTCTGCTGCTTTATGCTTAGTGCCGTATAAGGTTCTGTTCTAATATAGATAATGTAAGTTGAAGTCCCCTAGTAAGACATGCTCCCCTGGCCTAACTAGAAGGTTATAGAGCGCTGATATTACAGGGAGCGCCTTTGTTACTAAGTACAAGGCGGGTGACCTGTTATACATGTTATGGATATGTATTGTTATTAGCTTGCTACTGAAACGCGTTCGAATTACTAGTGATGCAATATTAAGAGATTCGTAATAGACCTCTTAACTATTAATGTCTATGTTATCTTTAATGTAAAAGCATACGCTAGTGTCTTCTCTCAGGTTATAAAGCAGAGTGAAGCCCCTTCTGTGAGCGTTAAGCAAGGTGTATATTTGTAAGTTATGCCACAGCTCTTAAATAGTTATAATGTCGTAGTTAAGAATATAGTCGTCTTCAAAGAGTGGGATCATAGTGCCCACCCTCTCCTTCCGCACATTATATTATAGGATTAGTAAAGTTTTAGTGTCTAACATATCATAACTTCTTCATTAGGGCCATTCTCCTAGAAGTTATTAGGGCCTATAGTAGTAAGCTTTTTAGGCAGGCGGCCGCGTTTAGCCTTAGCGAAGGCCTTATCCCTGGATTCAGCATCTATAAGGCGCTAAAGGCTATCGCTTCTTAGGCGCCTTATTAGCGGAGTTAAGGATATCACTATGCCGCTATTACAGCTAGAGTCTGTTAAGTTGCCAGCGGGACTTATGCGCTTAGTGGCCCCTGTTAGAGCGTTCTGAGGCTCTATAAGGGGCAAGACATTTTGATAAGGTTAGGTCCTCAGTTGTTTGTTCTTGACCAGACGCAGTTTCTCGGCCTGTCTTACCTTACAGGAGGGCGACCATGCTTGGTGCCCTGGCTGCGCGCAGACTGCGCAACAGTAGCAATTCGTAGCCTCTTTATTAGGACACTCCTTAGTGCTATAAGGAGCCGCGCAGTGCCCGCAATGTGTAAGTTGTCTACACTGCTTGCTTAGGTGTCTGTAACCTTGACAGTTGTAGCACTGGGTTAGGTGGCTACGTGCGAACCGTTTGCAGTGCTTGAGCTTGTAATCGATCACAAACCCCTTAGTTAGTATTCGGTTCGCCATCTCAGCGGTTTCTACCTCGACTAGGAGCGAGGAAAAGGTCTTCTTGTCTTTGATCGCCTTGCCTGACCAGCCTATCTTGATAATCTTGATGTCTTTATGTAGGCTGCTGTTAAGCGCTTATAGCCTTTCGCGACAAAGTCTTCAGACATGACACAATACTCACGAGGGTCCTTGCCCATATGTGTTTTGACCTCAGTGTGACCATAGTCAACACGGTAGATGCGAGGCCACTGAGGCCATGGATTATCACGAGCACCATTTCCCATTCTGTTCACCCCTATAAGTCCAGGGGCCGCTTTCTTGATCCTTTCCATCAGTTCCTTCGCTTCCCCCTCATGCATCATGCGCTTCTCTATTTCATCAGATATCTTGATTAGTGTTTTTTTAGTTATTAAGTAATTAGCAAAAGATATAAAGCTAATTACTTATTAAATAACTCTTTTATATAAGGAGATCTATATACTTTATAAGGCTAATAAGGCTCTTACAAAGTATCAGAGGGCTAAAAAGATATATATATAAGCTAGAGGTGCACTTATTATAGAGGATATATATAGTTTAATTAAGCAGAAAGAGATTATACAACTGCAGTTAAATAGAAGATCAGTAGAAGAGGGTGTTACACAGACTAGGTCATCAGGCTTACAGTATTATAGGAGATGTGGCAAAACTAACTATAATGTATGAACCTGTCAGGAGGTTAAAGAGACATCTAAGGAAGATAGTAATGTAAAAGATAATTGATTTTCTTATATTATAGTTATATATAATAGTTAGAAGATTATGATGTAGAAGAAAGATAGGCGGGTCACTTATATAAGCGGGTCGCTTATAAACTACGTTAGCTAGTATAGTATTTTCTCTTTTACTTTATTTAAATTCTTTATTAGGCCTAATAAAAAGCTTTTGACTATTTATTTAGTACTTATAGCTTATTATTTAAAACCTCTTAATATTCTTATTAAAAAAAATATATTAGAAGTAAAGAAGTAATATACTTTATTAAAAGAGATTAATAAATATACTTTTGTTTAATTTAATTAATACATATATATAAAAGATTATATAATTATAAATCCTAAAATTCTGCTTAATACCTTTATATTTATAATTATCTATTCTACTTTAAATAAGGCTCTTCTAGATCTAGTTAAGGCTAATATTAAAGAAGTGTTTACTCTTGCTACTAGTGTTAATAATAGCTTAGGAATCTTCTTGATTTCAAAGAAGACTAAGAAGAAAGAGAAGAAAAGAATACTATTAAAATATATAGATAAGGAAGTAAGAAATTATAATTATAAATTACTTAAAGCTATAGGCTTAGTTATTATTACTATATAGTTAAAAAAATAAATATTATAAGATAGTTTTAAGAGTAATATATATGTTATCTTTATACTTACTTTTTAAGTTTAAAGAAACTATAATTTATTTAAAAACTATATTAAAGTCTTTCTTTATTATACCTAACTTTATATACTCTAAGACAAGTATAATATCAGCTCTTTAAAGTGTCTCTCTTTATATAAGCTTTATAAATAATAACTCTATATTATAATCTAGTTTTGAGTTAATAAGTTAAGAAAAAAGACAAAAAAGATTAAAAAAAGATAAAGAGTTATAATTTATAATAATAACAAATTACTTAATTCTATAAGAGAACTACTAAGAATTAAACTTAGAACTCTTTTAAAATAAAATATTATATCTTACTTTTCTAAAAGAATATTATCTTTTATATTATAGTCTTATTTATAAAGTTATTCTAGACTACTAAATTATTAAGAGAGACTTATTTAAACAAGATAATAGAATATATATTATTTATATTCTTTTTATATATTAATTAATATAAGCTTAAAAAAGAGGATTAGCAAAGGCATAATAGGATCAAATAAGACTAGCTATAATAATAGATTAATTATATACCTTTATATTATAAAAGAAAGAACAGCTATTCTTTAGATTAGTAATAGACTTAGGTGTTAGTTATTAGGCTTAAGACTTTTGCTAAAGTAAGGATAAAATATATAGTATAATTTCTTTTATCTTTTTTTAAGTATTATTAAACTCTAAGAGATTCTTTTTATTCTTAACTAATACTAGTTAATTAATCTGACTCTAAATAAATTCTAGATATTTATATTATATATCTTAAAATTAAAGAATATATTAGGCTTACTTTATCTTTTAATAACTGTTCTTTTAACGTCTTATTATTTTACTTTATTTTTGTCTTTGCTTAAGTAATTAAGCAGATTATTTATAATAATATTTATTATTATATAAGTCTTATTTAATTAATTAGTTTATTATTCTTTTATTATTATCTATAAAAAGTATTTATTTAAATTACTCTTTAGCTTATTATTATTATTAATATTAATTTATTTAATTATAATATTACTTTATATTTATTACATGCTTTAATTAGTTAGTTATCTTACTACTATTATTTATTATTATATCTTCTAAAGTTATTAATTAGATAATACTTAAATAAATAATATTAAAATAACTTTATTAGTTTATAATTAGTAGAGTACTATTTATATTTATTTATACTTTTGTTATAAGCGACTAATATAAAATTAAGAAGAACTATTTTTTATATAATAGAAAAGAGTACTATAAGATAAGAGTTAAAGGTATAATATAAAATTATATATAAGTTAGATATCTTACTTATTAATTAAAGGTTTTAATAATTAAGTATTTATAATGCTTCTTAATATATTTAACTTAATACTTATAAGGTAGTAAAAGAGCTTAAAATAATAGAGTTCTTAATTAATTTATATATAGTTTTATTTTAGATTATTTTTAGTAAGTAGAGAGTCTAATTAATACTAATATTAATAATATAAATAAGGTTATAATTAAGATAAATAATAATAAAAAATACTATACATATTCTGACTAGGTAACAGTATTTAAGGTCTTTAACATAAGCTTATAACTAATATTAGTAGGTTTTGTATAAAGTTCAAAGTAATTTTAAACTCTTTAATAATATTTTATAATAAATAAGTAGTTTATCATCTTAAAACTAGGTTTGCTATACCTAAGGCTCTTCAGGACGTTTCATTTAAAGGAGTCCTTATTCCTTTGAGATCTATTAATAATAACAAGGTGCTTATACTAGATAGCATAGATAATGTGGGGATCAGGAGACTTGTAGCAGTGTAGCAGGGTGCTGGTTGACATCAACTTTGCGCGTATTATTATCTGGGTGACTTTAAGATGGACCCGGTTCTCAGAGCTCAGGGGGAAGAGGCTGAAGGACTAATGCTTCGGCAGCTAGGCGATGCCTGGGTGAATAAGACTGAGGTGTCTGAGACAGATTTCGCAGAGCTAGAAGGGCTGGGGATGATAAGATCTGAGTTCATGACGCTATTGCGATATACTGCCTAGAGGTTTTGCAGAAGATCGGGAGGTGGTGATGCGTAAGGAACTAGAGCAGTCGACAGTCACCTAGAGCTATGAATAATTTTGGGAGTGGACAGATGCTGTAGTCTTAGATGTTATCAATAAGCGAGAACGAAGAACAGCTTCAGTAGAGTCAGCGGTGCTAGTCGCCTAAGGCTATCTTTGACACTATAGGTATTGTACCAGTCCACCCTCTGTACAGTACGTACTGCAATGGCTCGAAACTAGAACAAGTCAATAGTCCATAGATTGCTAAAACGTAAGCTGAGGAGTCTATCTACAGTGCGGCCAGCGCTCTACTCTATATACTCCTCCATCGAACACAAGGGGTGCTACTAGTAAACCTGCACGGAGGATCCGACGGAGTATCTGCAGGGCCAGAAGCGGTAGCTTCCCTCTGGAGGAGATTGTACTTCCCTAAAGGGGTCGTATCAATCTCCTGTTCCATGGTACTCGTACGGGGAGCCACGTGCCGTACGGATGCCTCTATCGGCGGCATAGTAGCTTGACGGCAAGAGTTCCGCGTGCCGTTGTGGATACGCCATCGGCGCTGCCGTCCGAGTGCGTGGCTGGTCCCGTGTATTTCCTGCGCCATGGCAGAGGAGATACTCCATCCATCACACGTACAGGATCGGCTTTCACAAAATAGGAAGAGCTTTTCTCTTGCATAGCAGCTAGCCAAATTAGGTCAAAGGCATCGGATCGTATCTCATATAGAAATCCTATTGTCGTCGTTCTTGTTATCGCTATCGTCATAGCTACCGTTGCTGCTATCATTACTACCATCGTTGAAATCTTCGCCGTCTTCGCCGTCTTCCTTATCGTCCAGATTCACTATATTGATGTCTTAGTCAGGAGTCGATCGAGTGCAACGACGAAGTATTTCTCACCATTAAAATAAAGAGAAATGGCCAGATATTCTTTTTTAATTCGGAAAATTCACGAGAATGGCTGTCACAGAACAAGCAAATAGTAGGTCACTCACTTTTCAGACCTTGTAAATATTAATGTAAATCAGGATAGATACTATCTAATCCCTATTGAATTCGCCTTACAAGATTTCTAATATCCTGAAGACGGCATGCTAAGGCTCAGAACGCCGAACGTCGAATTAGACCGTTAGATTTGAATATAATCCTTTTTGGGATGGTCATCCTCTGTGTTATATCTTGCTAGTCATAGCATAATTCTTCTTAAAGCCCTTTATCTTCTTATTGCCTTTTTTAATCCCACTTTTCTTCATGTAGCGCTTTAATGTGAACTATTTGTAGTCATGTCTTATTAAGCCTTTTTAGAAGATCTTTGGAAGCTTTTGGGGTTACTAATAATTTTTAGGAGCTCTATTTTGACGTTGTGTAAGGCCACTTCTAAGTTTATAAGTGGCTCTGTAAACCTTTGAGTCTGTGATAGTTCTTCCGGAAGATATTAGAGTTATTATATCTATTTTTGTAGGATATTAAATTGCCTTGCTCTACCTAACACGCTATTAAGTTAGTATTTAGATTAAGGCTCCTAATTATATTATTAGTTAATATTCTAATCTCTTAAAATAAATATTTAAATACCTTCTTTATCTTATTTACTTAACTAATATGTTCTTAGGAAGTAGGATTAATTAAAAGTTTCTGTAAACTTTATATCCTTAAAAAATAGATTATTATATGTGCTATTAATAGACGCTTTAATTAGAGACTAGAATAATTAACTAATATAAAGTAAATAGAGCTATTATTTGTCTAAGATTACTTAAGGTTCCCTTAACTTATCTAGCTAATTATAGCAGGCTTTAGATCTAATTTTAATTTTATTAATTAAGCTAGGTAGCTTAGCAGTAATTCTGTCTAAGAAGGACCTTATGAAGTCTCTTCTGTAACCTGTCAATAGCCAAGAGTAAAGCGTTACCTTTACAGGTTTAGACTTCTTACTTAGGGTAGCGCGCTATAAGTCGCCTTAACTATTCTCTAACCCTATTAGAGATTGTTTTGATGCTCTCTGTCTCTTAGATAAGTGGCTTTAGGCAAGATACTTTAAGAAATTCATGATTCTGATAAGTTAGCAGTTTATCTATTTAAGGATACTATTGCATATAGTTAGTACATAAATTAGTATCAGGACATATCCTGCAAATAAAATAAGATCCTACTATGTTTAACTTATTACAAATATTATACCAGATCCTGTATACTTAGTATCACGTGTTACGTTGAAAGCAGGCGACAAGTACGCGAGATCTTTAGCCTATGTTAAGTGCTATCCTAAGACTGTAGAGCCGACGAGAATAGCACTAGGGTCGCTCCTATATAGCGAGCATACCCCTTACTAATATGTAGTACTAATTAATACCTAGCGGCCTTAGCGCTAGTAGCTGATAAGCATAGCAGCTGTGATACTTAGCTGTTATCATTATTTATCTTAATAACTTGCTATTAAAAGCTAAAATCAGCCTAGTTAAACTCTTAAAGAATCATTAAATAATAGCCTAATTTATAAAAGTTAAGAGATATTCCTTTTAGCTTGGTTTCAAGCAAACGTACTAATAGTTGATGAATAGATTAGTGTAAGGATTAGGCTTAAATTATTTGGGAAGTTAGTATAAAAACGGAACGCTATTCCCATATCTGATCAAATATATTCTGGTTCATTAAAGCCTAATCTAGAGCAGTTTTGCTATAGCTATTAATAATAGAAAGGTCTGATACGTACTTAATAAAGAGTTTGGCCGTAGAAATATGACTTGAGTAGATGGCGAGATAGAGTGGTGTTCTATAAAATGCATCTTTGGAGTTTATATCAGCTCTTAGTGTTGTCAGTGTTTGATAAAGTAGTGTTCTTTCCTTAGTCGTTTTCATCTTCACCTCAGCTTGTTGTTCAACCAGAAACTTGACTACCGCCAGATAACCTTTCCATGCGGCGTCATAAAGGGGTGTCCAGCCATCAGGTGTCTTCACATTTATCTCAGCGTGTTATTTAACCAGAAACTTGACCACCGCCAGATAACCATTCCATGCAGCGCTTTAAAGGGATGTCCAGCCATCAGTTGTCTTCACATTCACCTTAGCTTGTTGTTTAACCAGAAATTTGATCACGTCCAGATGACCATTCTGTGCGGCTTCATAAAGAGGTGTCCGCCCATCAGTCGTCTCTATATTCACCTCAGCTTGTTGTTCAATCAGAAACTTGATCACCGCCAGATGACCATTCTATACGGCTGCATGAAGTGGTGTCCATCCGCGTTCACTTGCAATTGATACGTCGGCTCCTCGATTAAGTAGCAGCTTCACAACTGCAAGATGGCCATTCAATGCGGCTTCATAAAGTGGTGTCAGTCTATACTCTCCTCCTTGAGCATTGACCTCAGCACCCCGGTCCAGCAGCATCTGCACCACCTTCTCGTGACCTCCAGATGATGCCGCCTGCAGTGCAATGAGCTCTTGAAGTGTCCATCCTCGAGTGAACCATTTGCTTGATCGGAACGATGTTTCCCATGTGCTTTGTTGATTTGCATCCGTTGCCGTAGACGCCGAAACATCGGATAGGAACACATAGCATTTGGTGGCATTTTGATACCAACGAAACATCGAGTTGATCGATTTTGAGAGCTCAAGGAGATTCCATTTGTCGATGCAGCAGGTGTCGATCCAGAAGTACTGCAACTGATCCAGGCTGGCCTTTTCAGCACAGAACTTGATCTTCTGATAGCCGGCGGCTTTACTTTCATAGGTGTTACTTTATACATCTATAAAGAGGATCTCATCGTCGCCCCATCTATGCGAAAGAATAGCATATGGTGGGATCGTTCTTCCACTGAAGTCGGTTAAGACCAGTCTTTCTGAAGTATTGAAGTGAAGTAGCCGCATTGCTGCAAGATCAGCTCCAGAATGTCGGGACAACTCTAGAGAAAGAAATTCGATATAAGGGGCGGATTGCAACAGCAGAAATGAATTACCACAGACTCTTGAGGGAAAGCAGCGGTCTATGTATCGCAGGGATGGGCTGTGAAGGCAACATTGAGGCAGTGCAGAGAATGAACATGTGGACGGGCGCAATTCACACCGGAGTGCATATGCACAGCCCGTTGCGGGCAGCTGCTACGCCTCCCGTTGGCTGTGGCAGGAAATTGACATGCGGTCTCTCGTTTCCTCCATGCAAGGCACATTATCTGAAATCTGCCGCACTGGAACATGCAGATTGATTGTTAAGCAAATCGAGATTCTGTAACACTCCTGCTCTCCGTGAAAAGGCATTTCTGGCTTCGGCCTTAGCGCCTAAGACACTAGTTCTAAGGCTACCCTACACCATACTAGCAATAGTACACAATATTGTATCTACAGTACAGGCAAACACACCCTAAGAGTGGTGTACTTGTCTCTAGGCAGCATAATGTCACGAGTTATGCTTGAAGCAAGGAGAAAATCATGCATCGTGCAATATTGCGATTCAGTCAAGCTGGAGGGGGCTCTTTTTGGTTGCAAGAACTGTACAATTTAGGATGGCTAAAATAAGACAGGCCCCAAAAGAGGGTGCTTCTTCACCTCTGACCTCGCCCTAGGCCCCTCGCCCTTCCACTGTGCCATTCCGAGACGATGACGACTTCGTCGATCGCGGTGACATCCTCGCTCAGATTGACAAGCAATGCTCTCGACCGGCAGGCCGCGCAGCACTTGTCGGGCTGGAAGGTGTCGGGTAGGAACATTCTTCGAATAGTTGATCCCTGACGTTCAGGATGTCGGTAAATATTCTTCTCCCAGTCGGTATCCCCTCCAAGTCGAGTACTATCAGCTTGCCGACGGACTCTTTCAAATCCCAGAAGAAATGCCGACCCCAAGGCGGAATCTTGGTCCCGAAATAAGATGATGTTTTCCGGCCGAATGCTTTTGTGGACCATGTCGAAGGTGTGGACTGAGGAGACGGCTCGTGCTAATTGGGTGGCTAGTCGAAAACGATCTGAAAGAGAATGAGCTGTATCACATGCCATGATCCTTGCCCGGAGGGTCGTCGGTTCAGACAGGCCGTCTGGTATCCGGAAAACAAGACTGAAGTCGTTGTTTTTCTCGTCGTGAACAGCGCCGAGGCATGTTAGAAGACCAAAAGTTGATGGATCGGCGCTTTTGAGTCTTACGGCAAGTTCGCGAACCGTATCCTTTGTTAGGTTCGAAACTGAGTCCAGGAGGCGCCATTTGCTGTCGACTTGCACTGACTTGACGGAACTGAAAGCGATTTCGGTGGTTTGAGCCGACTGCAGTTTTTCTATGGGGAAGAAGACATGGGCAGATCTGATGTCTCTTAACGGAGCACGCACCATCATCGTCGCTTTCATCATCCTATTTCCTTGACTCTGGCTATTTTCTTTAGCACAGTCTAACTTCTTGTCCAAATGCTGGGTTTGTAATTTCATAACGAGATATCAAACCACAGAATATTCTCGTACAGTCCCGCAATCCTTTCCATATCAAACTTGCAGACTTTGGCTTTTCCAAGGCGAGTGACTAGCTGGCAACATTCTGCGGCTCGCTACATTATACTGCTCCTGAAATTCATTCCAGACAAGCTGCATATACAAATGCCGTTGATATCTGGTTAGCAACCTCCAGCATTATGAACTTGCGTCCAACCCTGCTCTGCTTTTAAGTAACATAAATTATACAGACTTGACTGCAGATCTGTTCTAAATGATTGGATGTCATGTTTCATGTCGACTTTAATAACTTAGAATTTTCCTCTATCGAGCTGTATTCCAACCTATGTTGCTGCATACATTCAGCGCTTATGCGGCCTTCCGGCCAAGGATTGGCCACGCGAGTCACTTATCGCATCCAACATGCTTCAAGTAAAAGATCTCGAAACTCTCATCCGGGAAATTCACAGGTACGGAGGCCGGGCCAGATGATTCAAGCTCTTCTTCACATGGCCGCCTGTTCACTCACGCCTCAAATGGTAGAAATGGAATATGGTAGGATCATTTTTCGAGGTAATTAGTGTATGTGAAGATAACGCCAAGACTATCACGTGATGATCCGCATTGGCGGTACTTTCTGCTTTTGCTTCCGGTACTTTCTTCTGTATCTAGTTCATTTTGCTATGTACGGTCTTTTCTGCTCCTTCTATGGCAGTTATTGTACAGCAGAAAGGACCTCCTGCTGATGAATAGCGTCAGACGCAGATAGCGGAGGAAGGATATAGGGATTAGTATATAGAGAGTAATAGTCGCTGTTTGAGAGGAAGGGGAGCAGTCGAGTGGAGATAGAAATACACGTTCCTTTTGCCATATCAATTGCCCCCTTGCTGCTCCGCTTCACAGTGTACATCGTTACGGTATAACCGCGTGAGCATGTCAATCACAAAGTCTCACCAGTTGGCAGTAGCGACGCTCTCTCAGCCGGGTTGGACTTTATGCGGCCGATATGAGAAGACACCCTCCATCCGATCAGAATTGCCACAGCAGTGAAACACAGAACAACGACAGCCCAAATCTCGTACCACCTCAGCGGCTGCCCGGTCCTGGACGGCGGAGCCACTACCTCCTTATGAACCCCTTCATCTCCTCTACCGCCGAAGATCACACTGGCTTTATCGACCAGCGTGGCCCAGAACGATGGGTCCTCGAGAAAACTTCCTTTCTCAACACCCTGATTCGCAAGCTGCTGCGAGATATTGCAGGCTCCCTCCAGCCATGTCGCGACCTCGGCGCGTTCCTGGTGCGAGCATGAGTTTTGACATCCCAACATGTCTCCATTCAAGCAGAAACACTGTCGTCCTTTTGTTATGCATCCGGCGTCCATGAGAGCGTCTGGCAAGCAATCCTCAGCGCATGCTGGAAGGCCTTTTAGGTCCAGATCGTCCGCCTGGGGTCCACATCCGGTATTGCCGGTGTACCAGTCCTCCGCGTTCATCCAGGCGTTCCAGTTGCAAATCCATGCGCATCGGAGTGGGGTTTTGAGATTACAAAAGCACTGCCTGCTCCATGTTTTGGCATCGGAATCGGTATACGGGCAATGCACCCCGGTTCCGCCATAGATGATAGTTCCTAATCCAGCGCAAAAGCTCTTGGTGCACTCTGGCATTGTCTCAGAGTCGATATCATTCGACTGACGGCGGACCATGGCGTCGGAGGCTATGGATTGCAGCGTAAGGGAGCAGAGGAGCGAGATGTGTAATAAAGTATTCATCTTGAGCGTTTAGTAAAAATAAACAGTCGGGGAGAATGAATACAAGTACATTGGATTCCGGTATTCCTGAAAGAAAATGCTGATTATTCAAGAATAAACATCAAGGGCACGCCTGGCCTCGTTGTGCGGAGATTTGGATGAAGGCTGGGTGGCTCCCGAGTTGAGGTTTGCAAAACAAAAGGATCGATGCTCTCACACTTGAAGGTGGAAATAACATATTAGACATCGTCTTATTAGGGGAGACACAGGAATTTGGGATAAGCTGGAGGTACGCCATGGGGGATGCGGCGACCCTGCGTTCATCACGCGGATACTCCCCCCAATTGGTTGAAAATAATAATAATAAAATCGTAAGTCATGGTGGCGTGATCCGAAACTGCTTTAAAGCATGTACCTATCAGGTGTTCTCTACTCCGCTGGCGTTAATAGCGAGGCCTGACACGCCTGGTTAGCCAAAATCCGGTGTCTACGCCGTCAGATGCACAGGCGCTAACCTCATTTTATGCCGCTAGCTCGCAACCAAAGAATTCAAGCTGTAGCTGCATTACAACTAATATGATTATTATCTTTTCGTAGCCGTTATAGCTACACATAGTGCCACTACCTGTACATTGTAAGCCAGACTCAGCTTTGCCTAGTTAGGCCTAATGCACATTGCCAATATCAGAGAATCAGAGATGCCCGCACATGCCGCCTAAGCTGCATCAGGGCTCCCCAGCTCAACTACAACATGCATGACTGAGGCCAGTCAACGGCCAACGTCGGGCCAAACGTCGTCTAAGCCTGCATTCCTCTAACCCTGTTAAGGAGTTGATTAGTGTAGTTAGTTGAAAATAATAATAATAAAATCGTAAGTCATAATGGCGTGATCTGAAACTGCTTTAAAGCATGTACCCATCAGGTGTTCTCTGCTCCGCTGGCGTTAATAGCGAGGCCTGGCACGCCTGATTAGACAAAATCCGGTGCCTACGTTGTCAGATGTATAGGCGCTAACCTTATTTCATGCTGCTAGCCCGCAACCGAAGAATTCAAGCTGCAGCTACATTGCAACTAATATAGTTATTATCTTTTTGTGGCCGCTACAGCTACACGTGGTGCCACTACCTGTACATTGTACTACGGTAGGGGGCAGAAGTATTCATAGCTCGGTGCTAGTAACAGCTAGTTCCGATACAGCGCCACATTGATGTCTAGAAGCTTCTTGGAGGATGTTCCATAATTATTGGCCATAGCAGTACCACTTAGCTTCTTAAGGATTAGCTGGTTCGTTTGTAGTCCGTTTTCTGGCGGAGATACTAGCGCCGAGCTATGGATACTTCTGCCTGGTACCGTAGTAAGCCAGACTTGGCTTTGCCCAGTTAGGCCCAATGCACATTGCCAATATCAGAGAATCAGAGATGCCCGCACATACCGCCTAGGCTGCATCGGGGCTCCCCAGCTCGACTGCAACATGCATGACTGAGGCTAGTCAACGGCCAACGTCGGGCCAAACGTCGCCTAAGCCTGCATTCCTCTGACCCTGTTGAGGAGTTGATTGGTGCAGTTGCGGACCCCAAATTTGCAAGCTCGTCCACCATTTCTCTTGGCTGAAGCATAGAAAATCTTGAATGTCAGTAGAATCATTGCTCTTCGATTAGTCGCATATCCTGAGCGCTGCAATGCACAAGTCAGCGAGCAACGCGTCGAAATGAGGACCTAATCCTGGTCAGGTTCTGGATTCTGGATTCACGCAATTCCAGCCTTTTTTCTCCCTTTATACTTGCTATCGACCGTGTTTGGGATTTGCCCATAGAGTGTTGCATCTACCATACTCACTGTTGTTCTACCATCCAATATCAATCCAGAGCTCTAGCACCAGAGCTCAGTCTTCTTTATGTCAACCGCAGCGCACGCTCGCGGTATGCATTCAAGCTTTCTGCCGGCTCTGTTCGTCACCGCGTTCTTCATTCTCGAAGTCAATGCATACCGGGGCAATGTATGTTGCAGACAAGCAGCACGCTTACCAGAGAAGAGAATGTTATTCAACGGATCCGAACCGTGGAAGGCCTGTAGCCTGAACTCCACCGATCAGTACCCCGAGGGAACGACATTCCCATCGGTGAACCATACAATGGCCTGGTGTCAAAAGACCTGTCCTGGAATACAGACCAGCGAGCTCAAACAGTGGCTTCAGCCGCTTGCAACGTGGGTACGTTTAGACGTGCAACTTTTGATGGTGGATGCTTACCTGTTTCATAGTTTGCTCCATACGTTGCTCTCCTTCTACTCTGCCCTATAGGGGGCTCGGTGCTCGGAAAAGAAGGAGAAGACCAGGGACACGACTCTAGCTTTCTTAGAACCAGTCGACCGAGACCGGGTTTACTCAGGAGAGCCAGCCGCCATGTTTTTCTGATGTTCAGAGATATATCTGAATTTCTTCTACACCAGATTAAAGACAAGGTACCGGAATATGGATCCATTCTAGGCGACCCCAGCAGTGCTTTGGCAGGAACCTTTTTTGAGATCCATGCCGATCTCGTCGGAACCACTGAAAAGGGTACAAAAATCATCGAAGATGCCGTATCTACCAAAGACACTCAGCGGGATGATCTCCAGCAGCGTCACATCCGGCAGATGATTGTACTGGTTGGAGACTTAAACCATCATGACAGCCTCAGCTCTCTTAACCCGCCAACCAAAGATACAGTTGACGACGTGAAGAAGAGATTATTCGACGCCAAGGATAACCAAATCGAGACAGCAATGGCGATTTTGGTCGCCGCCAGACTTAACTTCTTCAATGGCGTTTTCATGCCAGTCATCCTTACGCTGGCTGTTGTCGCATCCGTCTTCTACGAAGCTTACACCAAGCTGGGAGACAATGATACCGCTCATGGACTAGCATTTGGTGTTTGGTTCTCGTGGCTGCTAGTGCTCGCTGTGGCAAGCAACTGCTTTGCGTGTAGCCTCAACGGTGGGGTTGTTCGAGCAACGCTCACGCCATTCATGGGGTTGTCGGAGAGCCGTGTGCCGCTTCGGGAGCGGTTCATCAACTCAAAACTATGGCTCCACTGGATGGAACCTTCCAACGTTTCTGCATTGGTCAACGTTGAATCTACATTAATCTTGCCGACCTCGACGTGGGCGAAGTTTCTGGTCGGTCAGTTGCTCGGCTGGGCCCTCGTTGCGTTGACCACCGCTTCCGCCGCCGCAATATCGTACACAACACCCACCGTCGGTCTCGGCTGCCGTTCGTTCACCTTCTTGCTATGGGGCATACTCGCTCTTGCAACCGCCATCGTTCGCGTGGGAGCCAACTGGGCCGAACTACAGCACAAGCTGTCTCAACGTAGCGTTGTCGGGACAGCGCTGATTTGGATTTACTGGGTCCTCACTACCATTAACGCCTTGGTTCTCTTCATCGGTACGATTCTGCATCTCGCTGGAGTGTTCAGAAGCTGCAGATGCAAACGTCTCTTTGTTGGCGGCCTGTTCCAGGTCGAGCTGAACAGCAACACGGTGCTTGCAGTGGAAAACGCGAAGAAAATCTGGCTACCTGTCGGATACATGGCTTTCGGTGTTATATGGATTGTGTGCGGTTTAGTCATTGCTGCACGGAAGTGGATCACCGCTCACATGGAGAAATGGGCAGTCGAGGACCGTCAGTCCAAAGGGCATACCCGGTCTTCTGATCCACCAGTGGATGTAGAAATTGTGTCCCCTGATAAGGGGTGAGAGATGCTAGTTCTAATGGACTGGAATCTCAAGTTCAATCTTGATCTGTCAGTACATCAGGTCGTTCGAACTTTCTACTTAGGTAGTGTTTTCATGGGCGCTCCAGCTTTGGTGCATTCAAATCTGGCAGTGGCACAAATTTCTAATGATTGCCTTTTACTCTTCTATAATACAGTCATTTGCGATTTCAGTGTAAATTGGACCCACCTTTAAACGCTGGCGGCAGCAGAACGAATTGCTCGCACTGTTCCTGGCCCGAAAATGGGACACAGGTTGCCCTGCTCTTCTCGAAGCTTCCATTCTATGGGGTGCCAAGCTGATTTGCCAATACTGTACTGTAATTTGAATGAGAGTGCTGGACTCTCGTCGAACTTGCTTCGCAACCAACAACTTGCATTTATCGCATCATTCTTCAGAAACGCTGATGAAGCAATTGATATTATAATAGTCACCGAACCTTATTTCCTCCCTCGAGTACCTTTATGAAGCCTCATCCACTCTTAAACTCCCCAACGCCGTAGTTAATCCTTCGTATCGAGTACTCGCCCGTCTAAACACCACTTCCGTACCTTGCTGTGCGCCTGTATACAACTGAGTCGCTTCGTCGTGTCTGCCAGTACTTGAGAGCAGGAGGGCGAGGTTTTCCATTGTATTCATTGCGGGAACATACGTCAGAACCTGCACGGAACCCAAAGCAACCTCGTATCCACGCAAAGCCCGCTCATACATCTTCTCGGCCTCGTCCAGCTTGCCCTGGCCGGCGTAGAGAACGCCCAAGTTGTTGACCGTGTCCAGCGTTGATGTATGGTCTGGTCCCAACGCCTTTTCTTTTCCTACCAACGCCCGCTCATACATCTTCTCGGCCTCATCCAGCTTGCCCTGCGATCTGTAGAGGTTACCCAAGTTGTTGACCGTGTCGAGTGTTGATGTATGCTCTGGTCCCAATGCCTTCTCAAATCCAGCCAGCGCACGTTTATACATCTTCTGGGCCTCGTCCAGCTTGCTGTGAGACTTATAGAGTTGGCCTAAGTTGTTGACCGTGGTGAGTGTTGATGTATGGTCTGGTCCCCATGCCCTCCTCGTATCCGACCAGCGCCCGCTTATACATCTTCTCGGCCCCATCCAGCTTGCCCTGGTCCGCGTAAAGAAGGCCCAGATTGTTCATCGTGTTGAGCGTTGATGTATGGTCAGGTCCCGATGCCTTCTCGTATCCGACCAGCGCCCGCTCATACATCTTCTCGGCCTCCTCCAGCTTGTCCTGGTCCGCGTAGAGATATCCTAACATGTGTATTTTCCCTTCCATGCCCTCCTTAGCAACCGAACCTTTGAGTATCATGCTCGAACATCTGTTTGCATGCTGGAGAAGCCGCCTCTGCGTTGCCCACCACTTTTCTTTATCACGTTTAGGAGCATGCGATCCCACAAACTTCAAAGCCAGTCTCGCGAGTCCACCGTCCCACTTTTGGTTTAGGACGTGCATCGTCCACGCGTGCACACATCCATGCATGCTGTACCCTCTTGACTCGACTTGCTCAACTGGTGACTGATCCACCTCCACAAGCCCGTGGTCGCATAGCACTCGAACGACGGCATTGAAACTCAGTTCGTCTTCAGTAATCTCACGTATCCATTCTGGATCATCTTGCTCAGTGTGCTGAAGGAGTTCGAGCCAAACGTCTTGGCTATCCAAATACGCCCACAGCTGAAGTAACTTGGCCGAGGCCTTGTTCTGTCGCTGAACATGATCGTATGAAATCTGCCAAGTAGAGTACAGCATGCGATCCTCATATTCAGTCAGCTCTGGGGCTGTTTTCTGCAGCTTCAGCCATGATGCTTCATAGTGACGGAGATAGTCGGATAAACTTGTTGGCACCTGACTTAGGTATGCGCCCGCCGTAGCTAGTGCAAGTGGAGGGTCATCAAGCACGGTTACAAGCTTGATAGCATCGGCATCTATGGTACCGAAATCAATAGATTCATTCATTTAATGACGGAATTCCTCACCACCTAGAGACATTTGTCGTCCTGATGCATTTGTGAGAATCTGAAGACTGTCTTCCATGTTTGTCAATTTCGTGAAGTTCGAGGCCTTGCATATTACCTACCGCAGAGCAAGAATGGGTTAATTGTCTACATAACGCGGTATCGAAAGATGGCAGTGGATCTGGTAGTTCGCGACGTGATCGAGCTGCAAGCGTTGGGCCGAGATGAAGCGAAAACATTGCTACAAAAGTCGCTCATTGACCCAGACATGGTCGGCAACAAGGAGCCTGCTGTTGCTGAGCTCCTTGACGAGCTGGCTGATCTGCCGCTCGCAATCGTCCAGGCCGCTGCTTACCTCAATACGAATACAACCACTATGCCACGCTATCTGCGTCTGCTGCGAAATACAGAGCAAGACATGGTCAGCCTCATGAGCGCCGAGTTCCGCGACAGTGCACGATACGAAGGTGCGACCAATGCAGTGGCATCTACTTGGCTGGTGTCATTTGAGCAGATTCGCAAATACGACGAGATAGCAGCAGGTCTCCTCGCGTATGTGTCGTGTATCGAGCCTAAGGCAATTCCTCGGTCGATTCTGCCGACAGTGCAGCCGGAAGCAAGAATGGAAACCGCAATTGGAACGCTGTGCGGGTATGCGTTTCTCACGCGACGCGCGGAGGACGAAACATTCGACGTCCACAGGCTGGTCCATCTGGGGATGAGAATTTGGGGCCGACACCATGGTGATGCATCAACTGAGACCAGAAAGGCGATGCAACACCTTGCTGGAATTTTTCCATCCGATCACTTTGAGAAACGAAAGCTGTGGAGAGAATATCTGCCTCACGCGGTCAGACTCTTGCAAGAGCAGGAGGAGGAAGAGGAGGAAGAGCCCAAGAAATACGAGTTGTGCATTAGTGTAGGACGGTGTCTGCAGGCAGACGGCAGAGTGCGTGAAGCTGTGGACTTTCTCGAGCAGGCGTGGCGATGGCGATGCAGCAACATGGACGAGAAACATTCCGATAGACTATTATCGCAGTACACGCTCGCAATAGCATACCAAGCAGATGGGCAGGTTGGCATGGCGGTCGAGCTGCTTGAACACGTCGTCGCTGTTGAAGCGAAGGTGCTGGCTGAAGACCATCCCTCTCGACTGGCGTCGCAGCACGAGCTCGCAATAACATACCAAGCAGATGGGCAGGTTAGCAAGGCGGTTGAACTGCTTGAGCACGTCGTCACTATCGAAGCGAAGGTGCTGACCGAAGACCATCCTGATCGACTGGCGTCGCAGCACGAGCTGGCAATAGCATACAAAGCAGATGGGCAGGTTAACAAGACGACCGACGGTTTGTCCCGTGATGGGGGGGTGGCTTGACACCTCAATAATGTTTTTTTAAGCCAATGAGAGGGATTAGCTTACCCGTGCCATCGAAAAGCACCCCCTCCCCCGTAGGGGGTGCCCCCCAGCATAAAGCCCACTTCACCGTAAAGCCTACTTTCGTCAAGACATTTTTACATTTTCGAAAATAATTCACAACTTCCGCAATTTATGAGATAAATTAATTAAATTTAATCTATAACATCATTGCTATCGTAGCTCACAGCCTCTGAGAAATCAGACTCCTCCACCTCTGTTTGGGGGGTGATCTTAGGCACGGAAGCTGCTGTAATTAGTTCAGCTCGTTTTTTGGTTTCACGCGTCTTTTTACGCTCCAGGGCCGCATCTTCACGCGTTTTTCTCGCCATGACAGCGGCCCGCATGTATTTGACCTCTGAATTACGAGGCTCGCCAATTGGGTGGTTGATTTGGCGCTTGCTTTGCGACATCAAGGCTTTCTTCTGAGCAGCAGCCGTCATCAGGTTGATCTGATCTTTTTGGAGCTGAATTTCCGTCAGAGCCGTGCGGAGGGCCTTAGAGAGCTTCGTGATAACGTGTTGTGGGGGAATAAGGTTGAGAATAGCTCCCTCTTCAATCCTATCAACGTCGGCGAGCTTGGTAGGCGTTGTGTCGTTCATATAGAATGACGGCGACTGAATATCCTCCATGGCAACAGGTGGAGGTGTTTCCTCTTATTCTTCAAGGCGTCGAGTACAATAGACGGCTTGAAGGGGAATAAACCTGGCTTCTTCCAGCCACTTCTGATAGTTCCCTCCTTCATAGCCTTCTTGCGTATACCGTCGATTTCGGCGATGAAGTCAACCTTATTGATGGCTGAGATACCTGTGCGATTAAGGTCTCCGATAGCGCGTCCGTGCTAGTGCTTGTACGGCTGGAAAATAGCGACGTCAAGTGGTTGCAGGATATACGTTGTGTGTGGAGGAAGGAAGAAAGGCATAATCTTATGCTTCTGGCAGTAGGATAAGAACTTATAGGTAGTATGAGAACTATGACCGTCAAGAATCAACATCCTCCACTCTCCAATTTGCTTCTTCGTTATATGCTTATCGAAATGCTTGAGCCACACGAGGGCTATTTCGTCGTTCATGTATGCCGTAGAAGAGGTCTCAATGAGATAGTCGTCAGGTACGTCTGTCGCTCGCACCCAATCCTCCATGACCTTATCGCTGGTAGACTGACAGATGATCATAGGCGGCAGCACGTTTCCCAGGGCGTCGACGCACTTGACGAGCGTCACCAGCTCGCGAGTTGATTCTTTCGTCGAAGACACGCGTGTGCGCGTTTTGCTAGCTGGTACTATGATCTTTTCGCGCTTTCCTATGCCTATACGAAAACCTCCTTCGTCGCAATTGTATATGTCGCCAGGTTGGATGGCACAGCGTTGGATCTTGCCTATGAAGCTCGTGTACCATCTGTCGATGACTACAGGGTCTTCCGCAGCCGCACGATCAAGCTCCTTTGGCGAGTCGCTTTGTAGCATGAAGACATCGTGATGTGAAGCCATAAATCATGCTGCCCAGGTAGGCCCGATGGGTGGGGGTTTAGGATCATCTGGCTGTCTTTGACGGTCGCAAATCAATGAATATGCGACTGTTTCGAGTGTTCGAAGCGTGCCATGGAGTTCGAAAGAGGCCAAACTAAGCATGAAATTAATCACAGCCTGTTCCTCGTGGGGGAAGAGTATTTTATTAGTAGGAACGCGATCGTGTCGAGAAACGCGACCTTTTAGACGGCGGCGGAAGGTGTCGAGATTAACCTTATGATGCCCGGCGCAGGACACATGGGTACGGCGGACTGTTACGCTCTAGAGGTCACTACGGCGGACTATGTGAGCCAAACGGCCAATTCAAATTTTCATCTCCGCAGCAGGGCCATGGATTTGCCCACCAAATTTGTATGGCGGATTCCATAAACTTGTTCGCTGAGTGATTTCTGTACGGCATTTGTCTCCTGTTACTAGTAGAACTGTTCAATTGCCTGTTTAGGTCTCTAGATAGCTGTTCTTGGTGTTGCGCGTTATGCGCAGAGACAAGCGCGTCAATTCTCCTCCATATCAGGACCCTCATTAATCAATTCAACCTCCTCAATCTCCTCCATCGTAGGTTGTTGAGGACGCCAATCAAATGCTCCAGTTGGCTTCTCTGATAAAGCAATTGAGGCTCTCTCTCGCTTCTCAAATGCTCATCAACTCTTGCACGAAGTTGGAGATAGTATGCGCGATAAGGGGTTGAATTGTCATCCTCAGGAGCTTGCTGAGCAGCGTTGAATTCAAGATGTTGTAGTTGATTTTGACACCATTGATACGTTTCCGGAGGCAGAAATTCATCTATATCTAGTAAAGATTAGTATTGACGAATATATCTATCTAAACTACTTACCCCATTCTTGTACGTCATTTTGTAACTCCGTTAAGGTCTCGGAGTCAATTAAGAGGCCCTGATTCTCGATATGAGGCGGAGGATGATGATATAGAATATAGGGCTTGCCTGGCGTAACGTTCGGACGATTACGTTGCTTGCGAATGGAATGAATATTCCAAACCCGTACGAAACCCTGTATCTCTGCACGAAGAACTGGTATAGATAGCAAGTAGAGCTATCTGGTCACTTGGGATCTTCGGATCGAAGCTACCTTCTTGCAATAGGGCTCCAAAGTAGTTCTATATCAAATTTAGTATATATTCAGCTGTAAATGGTATATTAAAATAACTTACCCTCCATCGGAATAGCAATCCCTTTGTGAGCTGGTTCCACCAAGCCTCAATTCGCTGGTTTGTTGTACTAGCTCCGTACATATAGCAATCTTTTAACGGCGTAGTAGGGTCTGCTGCTTGTTGTAATAGATGATGGGCTTGAGCTAGGATAACCGTCTCACCGCCATGGTCAGATCGTATAAATCGAGGATACTGATTTAGCATTTCAATTGTATCAAGATACTGACGAAGAACGCTGATAGCTGTACGCCCTGAGATACCAACGTAGATCCAGATAATATAGCGAGAATAAGCATCGATAGCTCCGTATATCTCAATACCATAAGGAGCAAGCTTGAGATATCCATCCACAGACCATAAGAAGTTAGGACCGGGTACGATATATTCGCCGCGATGGCGTTGCATATTTCGTACACGGCGCTCAATAGCGTCAGGAGCAAGCGTACGGTAGATAGAGTAGATGCGGTCACTAGGGATAGATCAGCTTCGGAGCAGATAGAACTACTAAAATTGGCTGTACATGTACAGCCAAATCCGGAGAGTTATACGTACCGAGCAATATTGACTCCAAGCTGTTGAAAATGAGCATATAACAATCCACGCCCGTAGCCCTCAATAACGCCTTTTTGTAGCTCTTCTGTTATTACCCCAGCTGCAGTTTCTTCTGCCTCTTGTTGACCCTCTGCTGTACGAAGACTGTGCTTCAAGCCCAGCTCATAACGAAGCCGTGGAAGAGCTCGGGCTCCAAGCTGATATCCCTCCGTTCGAAGAGCGCGATAGAGTTGGTCGTCATTGAGGCCGTTGAAGAAGAGACTAGTAATTCGATCTCGTAGTGCTGGCGTATCTTGAGTCCACGTTCTTATAGAGATATTCCACTCTTTTAGACGTCTTCGGAGGGTATGATCAGCCAGCTGAGTCTGGTACGTATCGTGTAGATATCGAATAATCTCTGCGTTCGTCTTTTTGAGAGCTATTAATGCTAGAATCTCATCCTTGTACGGATTCAAATCGATCTTTGCGCGAGGCATAATGGATATTGATAAGGGAGAATCTTGTCAGAGGCAATAGAATGAGATAGAGGCTCAGAGGGCTTGGAATAGACGAAAAAGGCGGTGAATAAATTCTATGCTTTTGATTATTAGCCAGATATGGCCGACGACGAGGTCCACCTGTACGTGGTGTCGGCTACGAACCTTCTCTGCTCAGCAGGAGAGCCAAGAGGTCCTTACTGTGTTAGCGTTGCGGACGCGGCGGCGGCATCAGGCTTGGGTCCCCTGATGTTGTTGTCGCGTCGGGCGCGGCCTAGCAGCGATACGATTTCGCCACCCGTACGCCGGCGAAGCCAGACACGTTAACAACAGAATCTATAGGGAACGTCCATGAGAGGCGCCCTAATCAGGAGGCTGAGGAAGACGAAAGATCTTGCCAGCGCGTGGGGTTGCTCCCAACCTTCGACTACGACAGCGTATCGCAGGCAGCGCGTACTGCTTTCGTACGAAGCAGCTCACCTGGTGGAAGCTCTTCAGAGCTTCGGTTGCCCCATTTGTCGCCAGGGGCCAGAACCGCAATACACTAGACTGTTACCATCTGCTCAGGGAGCCTAGTCTTAGCAACATTCAACGGAATCCCTATTATGAACAACACCAACAAAGCGCGAGCGGAGAACGAACAACACGCAAATATAAAAAGAGTCACTTAGGATGTGTTCTACATCTTACGACCGTGTTACGGGCACTCTGGAGGGGGATGTCGATCCCCACTATATCTGGTGCTGTTGAGCCGCAGGCAGAGCCGGATGGCTGTCAAGATTCATAACAGGGAGGAAGATGATGGCGGACCGCGTCAGGGGCGCGTGGATAACGACTTAGGAGGGACTCTGGTCTCAGGCGGCGGAAGGAACAGAGGCAACGATAGCGACTCACCTACGTACGACAGGCGAGTCACAGGCGAAGGACAACAAAGCGGCTACAGATAAGACCTACGGGCACCAAGGGGCAGTCGCCCATCCAGATCGATAACGCACTCAATAAAACAGTGGTCTTTTAGGCCGTTGCAGTCTACTGTTATTGGTTGAGCAAGCGCTACGCCACTGGCAACGTCCGAACAACTTGTAATACAGTCGCTCAGAGCACCACAGTCGATACGCCAGCGCAGCGAAGACAAAGAGAACACAAGATTGGCTATGGGGTTTTTCTCCTGGAAAGGTTTCCTCATGTATATACCTTCAACGATTAGAGTTGATAGTTTCCCGCATGGATCAGCCCACGGCTAGAACCGCATCGGAGTAAGAATCAAATCAAATCAAATCAATTAGCCAGATATCCATACTATCAACTTCAAAACCTCATACAACCTTCTTACAATGCCGCAGCCTCTGTGGCTCCCTTTTTGCGGCGTCAATAGAGCTTCTTACGATGATTTTGCTGATCTGAAGGAGTGCCCTTGTTGTCATCTTCGCAATCCAGCGTTTGAACAGCCTATCTCTGAACCGCAGGAGATAATAGAGCTGCTTGATGAATCACCAGTTCCGACACCAAAGAAGACGAAAGCCGTCTTTGCTGCCAGCAACGAGCATGTACGAAGTCCTCAAACCCAGCGTTTTCAAAGATATACTCAATATTCTGTTACTGAGCTGGTACAACAGATGACAACGCAAAAGGCTTAACGCTCCTCTTCTATACGACCCCAGACGAATATTCCAGTTCCTTCGAATCGTACAAATAACAAGCTAATGGCTGAAACCTATCAAACGACGATAGCAATCTGGCGACGCACAGTACAAGAGAATGCGGAGCAGATAGACTGTCGAATGTTGAAAAGAGTCTCTTTCAAGCTTCAAAATAAAGCAATTATAGATCTGAACGACTTTATGCACAATTCTCTATTGAAACAGGTCCGAGAATGGAGAACGACTTTTACGCAGAATGACGACGAGAAGCTCTATCTTGCGAAACGCGTTGAGTCCAAACAGACCCCGGTTGAGCTGCCCACAAGCGCTGATGACGTTCGTACGATCAAGGAGGCAATGGAGTACTTTGGGATCATCAATAAGGAGTACGTTATTCATATCGTTATTGAACGGATAGAGCTTGAACGGATAGAGCTTGAGCAGCTGAAGGAGGAGCTGTCTGACGAAGAGCCTGCTGATATTAAGAAGGAGAAGATCAAGAAGGAGGCAAATACTAAGCTCGTTCCTCGTACAGAATCTACATCGTGGAGGATTCTCAAATTCAAGAAACCTCCTAACCCAGAACCAGAGCCTTCTACAACTGAATCTCACAAACGAGCTCATTCTAGTACCGACGACTCCTTCGACCAATCTGCTGAAGAGCTGGATCAAGCAATCAAAGAGACTGATGCTCTTCTTCAACCTCAACCCTCAACTCCGAAGGAGAAGGAGAAGGAGAAGAAGGAGAAGAAGGAGAAGAAGGAGAAGAAGAAGGAGAAGAAGAAGAGGGGGATTAAGAATGATACAACATCTGCAGAGGAGGAGAGAAAGGAGAGGAGTCATGATACGACGCAGGAGCTCTTCTATAGCCCTCCAGCTCTTCGTACGAAGAAGAAGATAAAGGATACGACTTAGGAGGAGGAGGGGAAGAAGAATCAACTACTTCTGCGGCCTCCTGCGGCCCTCCGCTCCCCCCCTACTGCCCCCCTCTATCCTGCCGCCCTCCGTCCTGCCTCAACGCCAACAACACCAGCACACAATGATGTTCTCCTTCAGAGGAGGTTGTGTAAAGAGAAGAAGGAGAGAAGAAGAAAAAGGGCCTCTTATATCCCCTCCGTACCTGAACAGGGGTGTAGAATGTGCCAATTAGCGCTGTCGATCACTGCGGGGAGGCTCAAAATGTCAATAAACACCCTATTTGGGCCAGTTGAGGCCGTATTATCTAGCAATTGACTCCAATTGAGTGATGATATTGTGCCCAGCACTCTCCTTTGATACAGAGCCAAATCTGGCACTTTGAGCACTCATAATGAGTGTGTGAGCCTCCTAAAATAGCCGTAGAAATGCCATTATTGGCTGAGCGTGTAGTATCTGTTCCAAATGCGCGTTTGGGTGCCCTTTTACATGTACAGCCTGGCGGATGAAGCTTTCCCCATTGACACCGTCCGCCGGACTTCTTTTGTATGGGTTTGTGGTGTCTTTGAAGTACTATAGTTGGTAGAGATTGTGAATCCTCCTTCTCCTTGGTTTTATTATTCGAATAGAGTAATTGAGAGGAGAGAGCCTTTATGAACTCTTTATGGCTATTGTGTGTATGCTGTACGTTTGCTATATATATTAGAGAGCTTTATAGCTATAACAAATACGTATTAATATAAGCAACATTAATAAGGAAGTAGATTAAGAGTATCTATGTATAATAACTTTGCTTGCAATAATAAGTAAATGCTACTTATAACTAATTAGCTTAATCTACCCTCTTTATATAATAGTTATAGTTATTAATAGCCTTTAGAATAAAGAGATTCTTAAAGAGTAAGCCCTTAAATACAGGGTTAAGGGTACATTAATTTTCAGAGGAGATTTTAAGACATTTATATATTTATTAGATTTAATCTTCTATATAATAAAGGCTATAAGTAGTTATAATAGTATAAATAGCCTTATTATCTTACTAAATAAAGGCTAGAATATTATTATTAATAACTTGTGCTATTATAGAATCCTAGAGAAGCTTACTATTATTATTAAGATAGCGTTAAAGTTATAAGGGCACACTAATAGCCTTTTTTTATGTAGTTCTTATGTAGTAAATACTTATCGTTAGGAGGCACTAAGCTACAAGTATATTTAGAAAGAGGTTATTAAGATAGATATAGAATTTCTGCTTTAGTAGCTATATAGTAAGATATAAAATAAGTGTATAAGTTAGCATAAGAAGAGCACTTTTTTTAGTATCTAAATTTACTTTTGTGCCTTATTATTATAGCTATTATATTTGTTGACTCTTTACAAACATCTTAATACTATTTATTCTTAAATAAAATAGTTAGCTCTAGATATACTTATAGTCACTAATATACTATAGCTTATAGCCATCAGAAATTAGCTTATTCTTAAGCTTAACTATATAATTTGAGCGCCCTTTAAAAGCTATTATTGCTTTATTTATTATAATATAAGAAGAGAGTAAATAGGCATTTTGGTAAGCTGTTTAAATAAGGTTTAAAACGCGTTGAATTCGATAGAACTAGAGGGCATTTAGCTGTATAAGAGCAGTATTTAAGCTAAAGAATTAATAGATTAATTAGAATTAATCTCGACTTATAAACTTGCCTAATTTATAAATCTTTTAGTAGTTACTATGTATTACTAATTAATATAAGCTAAAATAGATATATATGCCTAGATATATATGTATTTCAGCGGGTGTAATAGGTACTAAATAGTAGTTTTCTAAAAGAGTAAAAAGAGAGTCACAAAGATGAGATTCGGCGTAAGAGTTCGTTTCTTTAGAGATGATTTCCACTATAATTAGGCTAGAAAAGAGCTCAAAAAAGCCTAATTCTGATAGATCAGAGTATTAAGAGGATCCTGCTTGATTTTGAACGTAATTAGCCTCAAATTAAGGCAGTTCTATTGGTAATAATGTAGGCAGTTCATTTGTATATTCTGACGCAGATTCGATCACTGCTAAGGCCTGATCAACATCATTTCGATCGATCGCCATAGGGTTAATTCTTCGTCGTTTTGGCTGGTTATGAGCTTGTTCGGATCGGGGAGGTGTTAGGGCTTAACTGGTTAAGACAAGTCTCAACTAGAAGCTGGGTCCAAAGGGTTGATTGAGTAGAATAGGAAGTGTAGTGAACAATACTAAGATGTCTTCAACTTAGGTATGAGCTGATAACATGAGTTGACTACAGAGTAAGAAGAACTATCTGACTATCTGCGAAAGGAGTGCACTTATATAGATAAGAGATTTGTATGCTTAGTCCTGCTCAGTAGTGAGCAGAGGTAAGCAACCTGCATATGCTTAGTGATGCTCAGTAGTAAGCAGAGGTGAGCAACCTTAAGTGTGCTCAATCTTGGCTGTCCATGAGCAACCATCCGGGTAGTCTTGTCCTAGTATCCAAGCCTAGTGCCTAGCTCTAGGCTGTGTGGCTCGGGCAACCTTCCCTGACTAGGAGGCGCTGTAATACTATCCCCCCTCTAGTTAGTCTTCGTCCTGAAGGCTAAACCTAGAGTCAAGAACTTCAGTAGAGGTATTCCTCTATCATCCTTTCTTGTCAGTATGCCTACATATAAAGTAAGCAAATCTTCTTCTATTCGTGACTGTAAAGCTTTAGTTGCTTGCGTTAAGGCCCTTAGGGTGGCGGTAGACATGCCATGTTCCACCTGCGAATCCTCTAAGGCACTTTGCGTTTTTTTAAGTTGTTCTCCTAAGTACTTAGAGTACATCTGTTTAGGTTATTAATATAATAGTAATTTCTTAAAGAGCGATTTTAATTATCTTAATATAAAGAAGAAAAAGTTAAAGGTAGTATTATTAGTTGCTAATACTTAGATCTAGCAAAAAGTAATAAAGGCTATTTCCTTAAGTAAGTATATTAAGTCTTTAAAAGAGACTTAAAGCAAGATAATTAAGCATAATATTTAGTCTCT